AGTTTATCAAATGCCTTAGCCATATCAATCTTTAGGATAACATTACCCCCTCTAACCTTGTAATCCAGCTTGTGGACCATTTCCTCCACCAAAAGAATCTGTTCATCCACTCCCATTCCTTTTTGAAACCCAGTCTGTTCAGGGGAGATAATTTTGGGAAGCAGAAGATGGATTCTGTCAGCAAGAATTCTAGTGTTGATCTTGCTCATAAAAGTGGATAAGGAGATGGGTTTGTAGTCATTGAATGTCTTGGGGTTATCTGTTTTAGGAATAAGACTTAAGAAGGTACTCCCATAACATTTAGGCACAGGAATCCCAATGAAAAATTCCTGAGTAGCACTGATGACATCCTTTTTTATTGTGTTCCAGCAGGTTCTGAAGAAGCATCCATAGAAGCTATCTGGACCGGGGGCACTCCCAGGGTTGAGAGACCAAACAGCCTCTCTAATCTCATCTTCCAGAGGTAATTTGCAGATATTCTCATTATCTGTCTGTGTTACCAAATTCTCCAGGAGTTCTAATATGGGCTCCATATTAATATGATTGCTAGAGCTAAAGAGATTTGAAAAATGTTCAATAGCTAACTCCTTTATAGAGTCCATGTCATTGACACTCCTGCCATCACTATCTTGGATAGTTCTAATCTTGGATTTAGATCTCTTGTCTTTGACATAACCATGAAAGAATTTTGAGTTGCAGTCTCCTTCTGAAATCCATTTGATATTTGCCTTCTGTTTCTAGAAGATCAGTTCATTATTAGTGGCAATTATAAGCTGGGCTCTGCATTTGTTGTCTTCTTCCCTCTTTGCAGGGCTAGGGTCTTTCTCATATTCATCCTGAGCAAACCTGGCTTTTTCTTCAGCTTTCATAAAGTTAGAGAAAATATTTCCAAAAGTTTCAATGTTCCACTTCTTTAAGACTTGTTTAAGCCCCTTGAGTTTGAGGCCCAGACCAATCATACCTCCATAATTGTGATTTTTGCTCCAGAAATCATGAACCAAGTTATGGAAAGTAGGGTGGTTGGTCCAAGAGTTAATGAATTTGAATGGTTTTGGCCCTCCTTTGTCTTCTTTAGTGCATTGTAAAAGTAGGGGTTTATGGTCAGAAGTAGCTTTGCTGATGTGCTTTACAGAGATATCATCATAATGAACCAGAATTTTGTTGTTCACCAACACTCTGTCTAGCCTTCTGTAGACCATACCATTCCTCCTTCCCCCAGACCAAGTGAAGGCAGAACCTATAGTTGGGGGGTAGTGAGATCACAGGATTCCATGCACTCTTTGAAATCATCCATATCTGATTGCTTGGGGAGGTTCATGCCTTTATGTTCTGGCCATTCTGCTATAACGTTGAAATCTCCTCCAACTACCCACTGACATGCAGGTGATTAGAGTGAATTCAGATCCTGCCACAGTTTCCTCCTTTCTAAGCCTGAGTGCTTACCATATACAGTGGTAATTCTTATATTCTCCTTTGTGTCATAAATAGTGAAATCACAATTGAGAAATTGGTCCCCTTAAGAGCTGTTGTTGAAACATAGGGCTTTCTCATGCCAAAACACTCATATTTTATTTGAGGTAGAGCCAAGGAAATTAGAAAAACCCATTTGCTTGCTGTAGAAGTGAATCTGGTCAGCTGAAACAATGGGTTCAATAACTGCAAGGAAACAGAAGCTATGATTTTTATTCAGCACCTTGATCCTTTTGAGAGAGGACCTAACTCCGCATACGTTCCAAAATAGCAAAATCATTTAAGGCTATGAAATATGAAGTCTTTATGCCCTTTGTGGCTTCTGGTGATCATACTTGTAGAAGGGCCTAACCTCTTGGATGTGTTTTTTTTTGGAACTGCTATTGAGATTGAGTTGGATGCAGGTATTTGGAAGGCCCTGGGAGTTAACGCAGATTGATCAAGAATATCACTACTTTTT